GAGAACTGATCATGCACGTTGACTGGATCATAAATCCTGATGCGGAGCTCCGCAAGGAACGCACTCTTTCTCTATTTATTATGACCAATCAAATGACTGATCAATTACCAAAAGCAATAGTGTGAGGAACGTTCCTCGCCTTACTATATCTTTCTCTCATGCGGATCGATCTCGTTCACTGAACTTATCAAGTAAAAACTGGAGCCTGACCTCGAGATTTAAGATTATAAGATTTGAATGTGTGCAGGATAACAAAGCCCTTATTTTTAGGATCATACATGTTCCTCCCTAAAGTGCAGTAATACAATCTTTCCTTTACTGTATTGTAGACTCAGTTTTCGGCAGACGTTTAAATCAGGCCATTTTTATGTTTCTCCCCTTCATCTCACCTCAGCATAAATCAGTGTTACATATCGTGAAGTTTGTTTGCTGGGGCCCAATACGGCAATATAACACGCCTAGCTTGGAATTAACTGGCTATGAATAAAGGCCCATAGCCGCTTTAGTAAAACAATTATTTTCCAATCTTAGCGAATTTTACAAAGAGCAAAATTATTTTTCTGGCTCATCAGTAAAGGTGAGAGCACTGAAAAACGCAATTGCNTTAAGATTATAAGATTTGACTGTGTGCAGGATAACAAAGTCCTTATTTTTAGGATCATGCATGTTCCTCACTAAAGTGCAATAATACAATCTTTCCTTTACTGTATTGTAGTCTCAGTTTTCGGCAGAAGTTTAAATCAGGCCATTTTTATGTTTCTCCCCTTCATCCCACCTCAACATAAATCAGTGATGCATATCGTGAAGTTTGTTTGCTGGGCCCCAATACAGCAATATAACACGCCTAGCTTGGAATTAAATGGCTATGAATAAAGGCCCATAGCCGCTTTAGTAAGACAATTATTTTCCAATCTTAGCCAATTTTACAAAGAGCAAAATTATTTTTCTGCCTCATCAGTAAAGGTGAGGGCACTGAAAAACGCAATTGCAACTAAAACAAACAACCCAACAAATTGCTAA